TCTGCCATGGAGGGCCTTTTGACCTCACTGGTTTTATGTATTTTCTTTCACTTAATTTTCACAATAGATCTGTGAGACCGTGGCCACTATGAGCCTCTTTTGAAATAAGTGACTACAATTCAGAGCTGTTAAGTACCAACTGCCTGAAGTCACATAGTAATAAAGTAGTATGGCAGTTAGCTTGTATGCCAACTCGTACCTGTATGAAAGGGTACGGGTGGAGTCCAACCTCTCAATCGGGTCACAGCCCATGATGCCTCCTTGGGGATGTGGTCTTTTTATAAAAGAAACACTGAAAACTCTCATTCTCTCTCCTTCCTGCTTGCTTGGTTCGGTGTCTGCCTTCAGGGGCAGCCCCATGTAGGCCATCGACTCCGGGAGATGTCATTGCCCTGCTGTTTCCACCAACCTTGCAACTCTGCACCCACCGACCTATGATATCCCTGCTTCCGGCTTCACTTTTTGGTTTCATTGCCTTGTAGCTGCATGAGTCTGAAAAGGGTTTCTGCTAGCATCGAACCCATGGACTTGAGTTGGACTGGGCTGAGACATCTTCATGATATAAAATTACTTTTTCCCCCCTAAAACACTGTTATTGGCATATAATTCACATATTATGTAATTTAGTGGGCCAATCATATTAAGGGTTATAAAATCATCACCACATCAATTTTAGAACACTTTCTTTCCTGTACTCATTGCTATTCGCTCCCTATTTCCCCCCAGCTCTCCCTCCAAACCCCCAAGAAACCATTAATTCAGTTACCCTCTCTAGATTTACTTATCCTAGATTTCATATACAGAAAAGCATTCCAAAACAATAATAGCAAAGTAAAACAGCAAAAAACCTCAATCGAAAACAAAGCAGAAAACTACAAAAAAGTAAAACAAATTTTAAATGGGTTAAAATGATAAGGTGTTAAATTTTAACCTAACTGCCTCTGCAACAATCCACTTTCTAATGCACCTTGCATGGTAGATAGCAAGGCTACTCACATCCCTGGTCGTTGGTCAGAGGGGATTTCACTGGAGGCTTAATAAATTTACTTCTTGATACTTACACATATCAGTGTCACTGATTTTTTGTTTATCTACACAACCCAACCTAACACAAGTAGTGAAGCTTGGATTTGCACCTGTTTTCTGAGTCTAGGGTTTTTGTTCTTTTCATAGACTGTCTCCAAAGTGTGGAAAGGCTTGTATTCTCTAGAAAGGACTTTCTCTAGCAAGAAGGGTATGGGATAAAGCTTATTTAATAGATTGCTTGAAGCTTAGATACTTAGATATTTGCTGTTTTCTATGGTATGTTGGTATGCAGTAGAAAATTACTAAACTTTTCTGTAGAATAAACACTATCATAATAACGTCATTGTTGTTGGATGCCTTCAAATCTGTTTTGATTCACGGCAGCCCTGTATACAACAGAACAAAACATTGCTCGGTCCTGCACCATCCTCAAAGTTGTTCTTATGTTTGAGCCCATTGATGTCGATGCATCTTGTTGAAGGTCTTCCTCTTTTTCACTGCTTTGCTACTTTACGAAGCATGATGTCTTTGGCCAGGGTCTGGTCTTCTCTGAGAGTATGTCCAAAATACATGATGTAGTCTCTCCAACCTTCCCAGTTTGCATAAGGTGCATCCTGGCTGTACTTCTTCCAAGAAAAATCTGCTTGTTCTCTTGGCAGCCCATGGGCCTTTCAATATTCTTCGCCAGCATCATAATTCAAGTGCATTGACTTTTCTTTGGTCTTTCTTGTATTCAACGTCCAGTTTTTACATGCATGTGAGTTGACTGAAAGTACCACGACTTTGCTCAGGTGCACCTTATTCCTCAAAGTAACATCTTTGCTTTTCTTAAGAGGTCTTGTGCAGCAGATTTTCCCAATGCAATGATCATAATAATAGTACTTATAATACTCTAAAAATTAGTTAATATGTGTTATATGTTTGGACCTATGCTGTCACAAAAGGACTACCCAATAGATTTAACTTTTATTATTTACACAGATAGAGATAGGGCTCAGGCATTCCAGCTGAGGGAACAACTTGCACATAAACCTAGAAATTGTGAGTTGTGTGAGTAATATGTACAATATAACTCACATAAAAGAGTTCATGGACAGGGAGGGAGGGGAAAAAGAGGAGCTGCTACCAAGGGTTCAACAGAAAATAAATCTAGAAAATAATGATGACAACATATGTACAAATAATGTGTGATACAATTGATGTATGGATTGTTATAAGAGCTGTAAGAGCCCCCCAATAAAACGATATTTTAATTAAAAATAGTTCATGGACAAATATATTGAGAAATAAGACTGGAAAAAGTAGTTCTGGACCCAGAATATTGCTGTAAAGCTATAAAGTAGTATAACATTTATATCTCTAGGACCTAAAGTAGAGAATACCAGAAAGATGTTTACTTGTATTTCATCGATTATGCCAAGGCATTCGACTGTGTGTGGACCATAATAACTTGTGGATAACCTTGAAAAGAATGGGAATTCCCAAGCATTTCATTGTGCTCATTTGGAAGTTGTACATGGATCAAGAGGTAGTTGTACAAACTGAGTAAGGGAATACCACATGGTTTAAAATCAGGAAAGCTGTGCACCAGGGTTGTATCCTCTCACCATAATTGCTCAATCTGTATGCTGAGCAAATCATCAGAGAAGCTGGATTATATGAAGAAGAATGACATCAGGATTGGAGGAAGGCATAATTAACCTGTGGTATGCAGATGCCCCAACCTTGCTTGTTGAAAGTGAGGAGGAAGTGATGGACTTGCTGATGAAGATCAAGGTTTGCAGCCCATAGTATGGTTTACAACTCAATGTAAGGAAGATCAAACTCTTCACAACTGGACTAATAGATAACATGATAAATGGAGGAAAAGTTGAAGTGGTCAGGGATTTTGTCTTGCTTGGATCTACAATCAATACTCATGGAAGCAGCAGTCAAGAGATCAAAAGACATACTGCATTAGGTAAATCTGCTGCATAAGACTTCTTTAGAGTATTGAAGAGCAAGGATGTTACTTTGAGGACTAAAGTGAGCCTGACCCAAGCCATGGTATTTTCTATTGCATCATGTGCATGTGAAAGTTGGACATTGAGTAAGACCATAGAAGAAATAGGTATTTGAAACTGTTGTGCTGGAGAAGAACATTGAAAGCACCACGGACTGCTGAAAGGACAAATCGATCTGTATTGGGAAAAGTAAGACCAGAGCACAAGCGTGGCAAGACTTTGTCTTACGTACTGTTGACATGTCATTTGGACATCTTTCGGAGACCAGTCCCTGGAAAAGGACATCATGTTTGGTAAACTGAAGTGACAGCAAAAAATGAAGGCCCACGACAAGATGGATTGACACAGTGGCTGCATCAATGGGCTCAGGCATAGGAACAATTGTGAGGTTGGTCCAGGACTGTGCAGTGTCTCCTTCTGTCGTTCATAGGCTCTCTGTGGGTCGGAGCTGACTTAATGGTACTTAACAACAACACTACCTAGGACAATGATTAGTATACCCCTCCTCATTTATGGACATAGTTAGCCTCCAAAGACCAGATGTCAAAATGGAAGATGACTACATTAGTACTTAATTTACATCATTACACAACTGCTGAATTTACATGATTTTATAACCACTGAGGATCATGGGCCAGCCAAATTGGCACATAAGCTTAACCATCGCATCCTCTACTTGCATTTTGACATTCATTATTGCTAAATGTATGTCGCTAATGCATCAAATAGTTGGATGGTAGATTTTTATTCTTTTTGTAAATGTGAAATATCAGATAACCAGGTAGTCAGTTGTGAGGAGTAGGTGCTTACTTATGCATGGTGTGTATTTATGTGTGTACTATCTTGAGTATTAGAATATTTGAGTTAATTTAAGAAAGGAAATTCTGTCCTTTATCTGAGCAACTTATTGGAGAAAGTGACCTAAAGCTAGAAGAATGGATAGGTTTTTACGTAGTAAAAATACTAGACTATTAGAATCAGTGAAGTAATGTAGCACTAAGCAGTGAATTAGTCAATCAAGTGATTGTACTGTCCAGGAGACTGCAAGTTACTTGAGATCATGCATTGTCTTTGTTGGCTGATTGGACCCAAATAGACATTTGAACAAAGTGTCTCAGCATTTAATCTTGTAAACATGGCTGTTGTGTAATGTTTTTGTTTCACAATAACTTTCAGAGAAAAGCAGGTCTTCCTAATTAGAGTAATTCTTCTTTTTACATCCATTACAGAACAGGCAGGTAACCACTTCCTTTTGCAAACAGGCAGTAATTTATTCTTAGCTGTTGTTTGTCTCCAAAGAGAAGAAAATGTGACTTCAGTAGAACAGATTTCTAAGCAATGGGTCAAGAATGGTAAGACATTGTAATGGTTTTAGAGTCTGCTTCTGTGGCTTGTTGATAGTTGATGTTTAGTAGACTCTGACTCATGGAAACTCCTTGTACAGCAAAGCAAAACGTTGCTTGGACCAACGCTATCCTCCTGCTGGATGCTGAATTTGCATTTCATGAAGCAGCACATTGCCATCTTTAGTAAGCTTCAAGTCTCTAGCACCAGAAATAAGCATCTTCATGGTCCTTAGGTTGATTTTGAACATGTCCTGCAGCTCCCAGATGGTGCTGTTATGTTAACCACCAGCTCTCCCTGGGCTCAGGCCACTTCAATGTTGGGGTTCAGGGTTTCACAGCCAACATGGTAGGGCCAGCAGAGGAAGAGGAGGAGAACCTGAGTGCAGAAGCCCCATACCAGCTTAGCATGGCTTGGAGGCAAGATTGGACCCTTCTGGAAAAAGTTATTATTTTTGTGATAAGTTGTTGCAAGTAGATTATTAATCTGGAAAGAATAGATCAATAGATCACATTAAAGAAATGATACAACTGAAAACTTTCCTGCTAGCCTCGTGGCTTTAAAATTTTACTTCCAAACATGGAGACATGGATAAAAGGTTTTAATTTTTATATTCTTTTATTTCAGCTCGTGATGCTGATGAGCGAGAGAAGTGGATCCATGCCTTAGAAGAAACAATTCTTCGACATACTCTCCAGCTTCAAGTAAGGGTCTTTACGTGACTTCTGGATAACTCATTAGTTTTTCTTGGTTTCTTGTTAATTTTCTTGGTTAATTGTGATGAGAACTTTCAATTTCTGAGTTGTTCATTTTTTACTTTTCTCTAGTATGATTATATATAGCAAAGTCATTCTTACTTTCTGGAGTGTAAAATAATGATTTTTGCCCAGAGACAAGATCACCAAGGCAATGTTGAAAATGAAATGTTACAACAAAATGTGCCAGTTTCATTTGTTTATTTAGTGTCTGTAATTGGTTATAGAAGTCCTGGTGAGGTAGTAGGTTAGATGTTGTTCTGATCAACAGAGCAGAACTTTACAGTCGGCTTCTGTAAAGACTTATGGCCTTGGGAACTTTATAGAGCAGTTCTTTTTTGCCTTGTAGGTTCACTCTACTCTAGAAAGGCAGTGGATACATAGCTGCGTATTGACATATCTGACTACATAATTATGCATAGCATTAGACAAGTGCCAAAACATTGATCTAACCTTCTTTTTCTAGGTGTTGGCAGTTATCATAGGGATGACAGGGAGTAAAAACTGAATCCAAACTAGTTTAATAAGAAAAAGAAGATACTCTGGCTTAGGCATGGTTTGATGTTGGACAGGTGTCTTGAAGACCCAGATCATCGATCTCTATTTCTAGGTTCTAGTGTCTATGGGTTGACATAATTTTCAGATAAATTCTGCCCTTGTGATGGCAAGATGATCGCACCATTTTAGTTTCATAATGTAGGACTCCCAAGCCAAGAGAAGTCCATCATTCTGGTCACCTTAGCAAATACATTGCTGGTTAGTTAATAGGTAGTCCCCTCAAGACAAGGTCAGAATGGGGAAAGAAGGTGCTGGCTGACACAAGCAGGAACGTCTCTCTGCTTTATTCAATACCAGGAATTAGTTTGATAAGACAAAATGGTAAAACTAGTGCACAGAATTTAAAATATTGTTTAAAATTTAAACATGAATACTCCAAAAACTGAAGCTTACTGCTGTGGATTCAATTATGACTCATAGTGACCCAATAGGACAGAGTAGAATTGCCCCTGTGGGTTTCATAGACTTAATAGGAATAGAAAGCCTGATCTTCCTCCCTCAGTGGCAGGTGGTTTTTGAACTGCTGACCTTGAGGTTAGCAGTCCATTATGTAATCCCCTATGCCACCAGGTCTTCTGGCTCTAATACTAAACCCCCAAACCAAACTCACTGCTATTGTGTTGATTCCAACACTTTGTAAGACAGGTAGAACTGCCCCTGTGGGCTTCTTGGGCTGTACCTCTTTACAGGAGTAGAAAGCCTTGATTTCTCCCTCACAATGGCTGCTGACCTTGCAGTTAGCAGCCCAGCCCATAATCACTTTGTTACCAGGGCTTCAATACAGGGGTCACAAAATCAATATGGCTTCATTGCAGTTTTGTGTGACTTTAATTGTATACCCATTACTTCAAAAGTCTTATTTGGCTTCTTGGTGATTTCTAATTGAATTCCCACCACTGGGAAAAAAAAAAATCCACTGCCATTGAGTTAGTTATGACTCATAGTGACCCTGTAGGATGGAGTAGAACTATCCCTTTGGGTTTCATCTGGTTTCTGCGGGAGAGCTGGTGGGTTCAAAAGGATGACCTTATGGTTAGTAGCCTAATGCACAACTCACCACACCACCACAGCTCCCTGAATCCTCACGGTGGGTTTTTCTCATGAGTACGACATTATCAAATTACCGTACAACCTGATCCCTTCTCTTTTTTTTGTTGCTATTTTAAAAAATCGGATCCCTTCTTTATGGAAAAAAAAAATTGTGACTTCACTTATACTTTCTCTCCTCATTTTTTTTCTTATCTTTAAAAAAAATGATCATTTTATTGGGGGCTCATACAACTCTTAGCACAATCCATTCGTACTTCCATTGTGTCAAGCACATTTGTACATTTGTTGCCATCATTATTCTCAAAGCATTTGCTTTCTGATTGAGCCCGTGATATCAGCTCCTCATTTTCCCCCCTCCCTCCCGTCACCTTATATTTTAAAGAAAAAAATGTTCTTACTCTTGCCCAGTGTTAACACTTCACTCATACTCTTGACTGCATGATGCTTTCTATTGGGTTGTGGCTTTAGGCCATCTAGCAGCCCTCACCACGAAGGATTCACCTAGTGCTTTTGTGTTGTTGACACCCCACCCCCATTACTTTATCTCTTTGGATTTGCATCATTAGACCTATAATTTTTCATTTTGGATTTTACCAGTTAGCTGTCTCCTTCTCTTTCAAACTGAACATGGCCAATGCTAAGCTTTTCTCCGTCTCCATCTCTTTACCTAATGTTTTCTGTTTCTGTTCATGACAACAGTAATCGCTGAGCCTTTGAGGTTTGAAAGCTGAGAATCTCTGTAGGTGATACCTTCCAACCTGCCAGACCTGGGGGCCCTGCAGTTACAGAATCATTTGCTTCTACCTCTCACTTGGGCTATATTTGCTGCAACCCCAGTTCAGGTGTTCAGTACAAACTGCCTGTGCTATTTCTGGATCCATGCTGTTGCTTCCGGGCTTGTACCTGCTCCAGTCTTCAAATTCTCTCTCTTAGCCCTTTCCAGCCATGGAAGGCCCAGCATATCGGTTACCTTCCCCCACACCCCCACCATTTTGATAAGCATGTCAAGCTGTAAGGTAATAGATATACTGGACCTCGACCTGGGGTTTAAAGCTATTGTTATATATGTAAGTTGTTGTTATTAGGTGCCATGGAATCGGTTCCGATTTTTAGTGACCCTTAAGTACAACCAAATCAAACACTACCTGGTCCTGTACTATCCGCAAAGTTGTTTTCTTTTAGCATAAAAACAACAACCACCTCCCTCACTATCATTGATTCAATTCAGACTCAGACAGGGCAGAATTGTCCGGATGAGTTTCTGAGATCATAGCTCTGTAGAGAGTCTTGTCTTCCTCCCTCAGAGGGGCTGGTGGTTTTGAACTCTGACCTTGTGGCCAGCAGCCCCACATGTAACCACTATACCGCTACTAGTCCCAGGGTGGTTCCCAATGTCAGATACTATACTATTCTTCCCTATCCCACTCCCCACTCCCACCTCACCCCACTCCTCTCCTTAGTATATGCCCTCACTTCCCTGGGTTCTGAGATTGGATACTATAGCTCACAGAACTCAGGACGCTTCAGGAAGTCACTCATGTGGTTGTGGGTGCAATGATTCCAAAATCCAAAGTTCAAATAACCATCTCTAAGATCTTACTCTTTCTCAAGACTTCAAAGTTCTCCTTGCTTCTACCAGTGCTCATTTAGAAAGGGCAGGTCACAAAAGGAATGGCTTTGATGGAGGCGTGGTATTTGCCTTTCAGCAGACCGTACCCCCAAGAAAGCAAAGGGTGGTTTGTGATTGTAGTCATACCTACTAGTAAAGTGAGACTCAGAATATATCTCACCTTCCTCCTATCTTTTGTTGTGGTTAGATGCTGTTGAGTTGGTTTGGACTTATGCTCAACCAGAAGGAAACATTAGCATAACAGAACTCCCTCCAAAAAGGGGATTCTAGCCAAAGGCATAGAGGCTAGAATTGTAATCACAAAAGGGATTATAGGTACAATGGTTATCTTAATCAAGTGACCACAACCCACATAGTGAGCTTGCAGAAAATGCCTGTGGCAGGGAGGTTGTAATTGCCCCCAAATCCCCAAAACTTAGAATGCATTCTTTTTTTGTACCAAAATGGGATACTGAAATGCAGCAAACATAAAAACAGGTATAAATTTTATTATGTTTATGATTTTATGCAACTGTGCTATATATACAAAAGAAAAAGATACAAAAACACAAGGCAATAAAATGTACATTAATATGAATTGGATATGATGTTATGACTTTGCTTAGGGGATTAGGGGGTCAATAGTATAAAATTGGAGCAAACAATAAACTTCAACCTACAGTATGAAAATGGTACTATAAAGATATAGGTTCTTTTTAAATTTGGCGTATGTGGAATGTGATGACTCCATCTATTCTCACTTCTGGGAAACTGTTGGGTGAGGAGGGTCCCCAACAAATCATCACAGGTC